GGGGGGGGGGGGGGGCGGGTATTTGTCAGGGTGACGAACAAGAGAATTACTACTGCTGCACAGCAGTGCTAAGACCAGAGCAGTGATGTCTCACTCTGATAGCAACCGGCTGGCACAAGGGTTTTCTCGGCTTCGTCCCTGGACGGAAGATACGGCAAGCCCACACCCTAGCAGCGCCAGAGGTGAAAATGTTCAAGGGGAAGGGCCTCACATGCGCGCCAGATCGATACCGTAACGGCTTTCATCGAGTATCAACCACTATCGCGCACAAAATGGGTAACAATGAAACAGAGAAAACATTCACACAGCTGACGGACTTGCTTGTTCGATCCCCATACCGCGAACCACATTTACACCTGCCATCACACACGCAAGCACCGAGGCTCATATTGCTTGATCGTGCCGGCTCCGCTGTGTACTGTCTCTGCTCGCTCTCGCACAGATGGAGAGGATCCTGCTAGACTACGATGAGGACAGCGTGGTTACAACCTACGACCAGACAGCCGACAAGAAAACAGTTTTCAAAGGGGTCGAGGTGCGGAGTCCCCACACGCTTCTCTTCTTCCCGTTTTCAGGGCTGGATTTGTCCGCGTGGTTGAGCTAGCTGAATGCAATGGTGGAACCGCCCATTCATTGCTTGATGGTGCCGTGAGGAAGGACCGCGCGTCGAGGTTCTTTGGGGCCTCTACATGGAACGAATAGACGTGACGGTTCAAGAACCGGTGCAGTCTTACCCTCATGACAGCTTTCTTCACTTGTTCGTCGTAGTTCCGACCCCTTGCCCTTTTTCATGCGGTGGCTGATCGACTAACATCTGTCTGTCATGCAGGGAGCCCGTACGCTCTTCGAAGGGCTCTTCGAAGCTTTGTCTGATCAGAGCGACTTGGCAGCTCCGGTGATCGATGTGTCAGAAGAAAGCAACATGGTGTTCCTTGTCTGGAGATGCCCCGCCTCTGGCTTCCTCGACGCCACGGACACCTTCACGCACAACGACAAGACCAAGAAGATTAGCCGCCAAAACGTGGCTTACAAGACCGGCTGATTTCGTTGCTGGTGGAGTTCCACCAATGAAAATGGCGGTGTACATTGGTCTGCATTGAGCTGCGCCCTTCCCCAGCAAATTCAACGCGGAGAGCATCGTCATAACTTTGAGTTGGCCGGTGCGGGGGGGGGCTTCAATGCCCCCGCGGCCCTGCTACAGTTGCCCACGGAGTGTGAGCACGTGTTTTTGAAAAGGAACGCTACCATGTCGAAACAAAGCTAGAATGTGTCGAGTTTGAAGTGTAACTTTTAGGTGGTGAATCATCGTTGCCGTCGTCTTTATTGTGCCTGCTGAAAATCGATTCAGTTGGTGGCGCAGCTCCAGGGAACGGTGCGCACATGTTGCGTGACCCCCATGCTCGCGACATTCGCGTAGCATATGGGCCGGCGATTCATCGTAGCTGAAAGAGGCGGTAGATACTTCTCTTTTTTTTTTTCTTGCTTTGTCCTTCGGGGCTGGTGATATGCAAGCTGTCCACACCTACTCTTGCCATGCAGCCGTCTCTTCTAGGCTTGCTGGTAGATGCTCGAGGGGGCCAACATGGTTAAATTCTGGTTTGTGTAGCGCGTATTCTTGAGCTACCCCCAGGGGGCTTTTCCCCCTTTTCTGAAGCCTATTTGCTTCAGTTGTCTGTTGCGGAAATTATCAGACCTATATTCGGTTTTGACCCAACCAAAAGTGACCCCACTCCCTTTTTTTCACTTGTTTTTAGAGTAGTAAGTAGGCGATCTCCGGTTTCTTATCTTAAAGCAAGTTGTTTGTCGGGCGATGTTTCTCGAGATCCCATGGACATATTTTCCTGTGGGTTGGAACAGATGTCCCTCCTGGCCCCGTCCGCCCGTCCTGCAAGTTTGTTGCAACAGCTCGTCTCTGTTGTTGAGAATGCGTCCGTTGTTGTATGTCATGTTCGTAGATCTCCCCCGTTCGATTGATTCACCGAACAACCAA